ATATTATAACAAATACCTGCAGAGGGCGCCAACAGCCTGGTGATGTTTCCTGTGATTCAACTACGTTTAAAATCCATTTAATTGCAATATTTGGCCATATGCAAAGTGAGAAACTTTTATTTTGAAATCGCGATCTACAATAAATGGCATATTTAGAAATATGTTGATGTATTCTGTGTTGGCATAGGTTTATAAATGACTTAAGTTACAAATTAAGTGAGATAACGCACAGTTTTTCCAGATGAACGTTAAGCAACCCCAACTTAACGCATATGCAGAGGAAGAGTTTAGCCCCTTTTCACACATACAGTCTTCTGGTAAATTGGTAAATTGCCGTTAAGAGATCATGTGTGAACAGGACCTTTTCAAAACTACAGGTACATTTGTTCTGCCAATCATATCCTTCTTATGGAGATGACGTGATTATTCTGAGCTGTTTACAAAGCTCCTTTAATTATATAGAAAATAGCTTTTCTATATAAATATGGCTCTAGATGGAAATCTTTGACCATTGCGTCTCGCAGCTTTTTCAGAATGTGTCGCGCTCATCAGCTGCGACTCTGAAGTTGGATACTATTATGCGTGTCTCATGTTTATAGGACCAAAAATGTCTGATTGGCTAGTAATGTTAGTTTGGTTGAGAGTGAAAGCTGTGTTCCTCTCATACATTGGTAGGCGAACTCATTAACTCGAACGTGATATCAACAAGTTTTTTTTTGTTTTTAAATGTAGGAGGACTATCTTATTTTCCCGCAGCTAAATGCCAAATGAGATCCAGCACGGTGCTGGTGAACTTTAAGCCCTGTAATAGATTTTATTTATATGTGCAGTTTGTTGTGATCTGTACAGTGGAACGGCACAAACATCACTGTGGTTTTGGCTGTGTCTACACTGCAAAACACTGGAACCTATCACGAGCTCTTACCCTGGGCTGCACACAGATTACAACACAATAGAGCACATTTAAACAATCTGGCTTCTGCCCAGGTTCTAAATCAGTTTCTTTGGGTGGATTATAAACCTGTGTATTTCAGGGGGTTGATTCTGATCACATGGGGAAGGCAACGTGAGGTGATGCTCTTCATTTGGAGATTCTCTTCATGGAATCCCCCTAACAGAACATTATTGCTGTTTTTTTAACTGTATATGAAATATAATCTGAAAAATGTTACAAAAGTTTCCAGCTCACCAGTTTTCCATTGTGAAACAGCTGCTGCTGAGACACAGGATAGTCTGTTTCTTGGTAGATCAGGGTCTTGATGTACCTGATCACTGTAGACGGGGGGACCTGGAAGACCCTCTTGCCTAGATAGTCATGACAGACTATCACCCATGGCAACCTAAAATCACAAAGCAAAACGCCTAACTATTCACAGGCTTTAATTTCAAAAAGCCTTAAAAAAACATGCTCAGGTCATATTTCACCTCAAAGGAAACAAATAGAAAGAATTTTTATTTTCTTGTTATATTTTTAGGACTAAGATGTTTTGCATTTTGACATTGTATTCATGAAAATTAAGCACATTTCCCCCAAAGTTCTCATTAACATAGTAAAAATATATATTTTTCAATACTGTAATATGAAAAAAAATATGTACAGTATTATTTAAAATGTACATTATTTATATCCCATTCAAGTATGCATAATGCCTTTAGTTCATGGTGACTATTACAACATTTTTATCTTATACACTAATATATATTACAGTAATGAGAATCATAAAGTCAATGTTACAATGCATAACATTTTAATGGTCCTAAAAACTGGCTTAATTTTCAAAATGAAATACGACCTGGATATCCATACAGAATACCTTACATCATAAAAATAATAATATTAATGAAAAAATTACAAATTTTCTAGAGCCATTTTCATTCCAATTAAATTCCAGTATCTCAATGGGTCGATAGTTTCTGTCTTAAGACAAAGTGAGTCTGACATACAACATAAAATTACAAAGATCACTTTATCTTTGTTCTTTCACTGAGAAGAAACACTTCAAGGATGTTTTTTTTTGTTGTTTTTTTTATGGCCATGACTGATGATCCTTTCATGCACTACAAACCCTAATAGAAATGCATGGATCCTGCCACATCACCTCTGCAGTTAAAAATCAAATTACACCTATTAGGGGCTATCAAATTTGAGCCATATCCAAATGCACACATCAGTCTGTCTTCTAAAAGCCAGAGATTGGAGGAATATGTATTTTGCTCTGCTGACAAACTATGACATTTTACTATAATAGAAGAACACTAGTGACACATATCTCTCGGTTTAGACCTGGACCTGTTGTCAGGCAACCAATGAAAGTCCCACGGCGTCACTGACTGTATCATCCTATTTGTGTGCTAGGGTGGGGCATAATATGGACCATGCAAACTATCTAGTGACAATTCACATGCTACCAGTCTATAAAAAGTTAAATGTCTTACTGAATTTGTTATTTATAACAACAGACAAGGATAACGTAGTTTAGATAGTTAACGGTCTCACTGAAGTCAAAAACAACATCAAACCGTTTACTAATTTATACTAATTCATCTCAACTTACCACGGGTCGTGACCGGTTGCCATTGCTTTTCAGCCAAACTGCGGTTATTCGCGTACGCAGACATTCATCGATCACTCCGCATGGAGCATTACACTATGCCGTACCGCTATCCTCCGGAGAAAATCCTCCGCATTGGGCATTCATTGATTTACTCTGACCCTTTTGGTCTCAATCTGAAAGAATCATCCCATCCTGTGCGCTATAAACTTCGTGTGCCTGTGTTTTGCTCTTGGACCCTCCTCCTCCTGCGGTTTAATAAACGGCTCGTGCTGTTAAACCAACGGTTTGTCCCATAGATGTCACGCTTTGTCGCAGTGTTTTAAAAGAAGGATTCTGGAAGAAAGAAAGAAATAGAATGTCACAAATGCTGCTTCTTCCATGACAACGCCTTCTTAAGAGCGTTTCAGTGAATGTGAAAGATGAATGTGTTTGTTTGTGTAGTTGCGGATTTTTGACTCGGACTGAGCGCCATGAATGCTGGGAGTTGAAGTCCTCTAGTGTAATGCGCGCGCACAAACATATTAGTTATTTTAAATATCATATATTACAGTATATATAAAATATTAATATATCTTTATTTTAGAATCTCAGTCAACTATAGTTATCAACTGTAAATGAAAGCTCAGATTATCTTAGTACATGCCAGTGGTCACATTTGTGAACAGTAGAGATCTATTTTGAATCTACCAAATTATAATATTGCAGAATTTAAACAGTGTATTTGTCCCATTACGGTAAAAATAAATAAATAAATAAAAAGTGAAATTGCTACTTTATTTTTTGTATCCTAACTTGAGTCTTGTTGAGCCACTGAGCGATTTTTAAGTGTGAAGTGTCCAACTGTGAACATTATACTTTCACTAACTTATATATATTTATCATTATTATTGAAGAAACATACGTTTTGTTTAATATCCAAGAAATAAAATGCAGGTGCACACACTTAGAGCTGGGAATTAAATGTTTAATGCATCTAAAGTTAAAGTCACCATGCAGTATTTTTAGTTTTCTTTGTAAGAAAGGAGTCATCTTATGACGCAGTACAATGGATATACCAAATGACGTCATATAACCTCATTGCACCAATACATTTACCTTTAACTAAACCTTGATAAAAAGGAGATGCAAACGAATGACAGTTAAAATTGCAAACACTTGCACTTTCTTAAACATTTAGAATATGTTTGTATTAAATTCTCCACCTAGTGTATAGCCTACATATTTTGTTACATTATTGCTGTACTGAATGTTGCCTATTTGTTACAACCGTGATGTTACATATAAACAAGGAAACTCACCTTTTGTGAAAATGACCTTATTTTGTAATTCAGGTGCTAAGATCGCGCAAAGTGAAGTAGATTACAGTAATGACGCTGAACAAATCCAAAATAACCCTGGTCTCAGCACGTTTTCCTCTGTAAATCCACTGCTGCAGTAGACAGTTCCTCACAGGACAGGACGGTCAGTGCGATCTGCAGAACTGATGATGGTCTTCACACGCATCCTTTCAGCATGCTGCGATGTTTGTTCTTGTATGGATTGTTTATGGCACATCATGCACGATCATTTACTGCCTAACGCCCAGTATTCACTATGCTAATTCTAGCAGTTCTTCGCGAGTGACCGTCTCATTACTGCATCAGCTGTTAGAGCAACCAGCACTCTTAAAGCTACAGTAAACATATTAGTCAGGGTAGAGGTGGATATAAATGTCCACGATTGTGGCTGTGAGGGATATAGCTGTACAGTCTGTTAATATGACGGCTGAACTGCTTAATTTTTAGTGGACCCCACTGGAAAGAAACAGACACAAATGAAAAATGCAAATCCTATTAAATAATGATACAGCAAGTTTTTCTATGGATGTGTCCGAATTCGCATACTCTCTCTCTCTGAGTAGGTAGGCAAGCCTAATTTTTTTTTTTAATAGACCATTAAAAACGTTTGTTCTATATAGTATAAATGTAATCCAGTGTTCTGAAATAATCCCTTTCTAAATTCCACTGGGTAGCAAAGGCTACATGCATATTCATGAGCTTCTTAGTGCACTCTCCCCAGATTTTAGAGCTGAACTAAAGCTTAACTGTTCATCTCTGCAGATCAATTTATAGATTGCTTAGTGTGTTATGTTTGATTTATACCACGGGGTTGTCGAATGCCCTTCTCCAATTTCCTGAAACCTTATAGGATAAAGCCAGTTCAATAAACTGGCCAATTGTTGCTACTTATGCAAATCGCATGCAAATACTGACAAGCTCGCGGGCAGTATAAATGCAGTGAAAGTGACAATTGCCTCAGAATCTTCTCCTGCATGCTGCCATCGTCAAAGATGCACCAGAAGATACTACAACTTCTTCACTGAATCCGATGGCAACTTCAGTCATATTTGCGCGGGCCCCATTGACCCGCTAGTCCCACACGAGCACTGCATCGCCTGCCTGGGCCCACTCTGAGGCTATGTTCTCTGAGTCCGACTGCTTACTCTGCACTGACTTGCCGGCACTCGGAGGAGCACCGCCCGTGGCCTTATGGGGACGGGGGCCACTGCCGCCAGCGAGCCGCTGGTGGGCCCTACCCTATCCTAGTCCTTTTCGCTGAGTGACCTCAACTGGGCAGAGGAACCTGATAGGAGTTGGCTCGACTCCTGGTACTTCCAGTCCAGTGTTAATTTTGACATTTTGGGTGAACTATCCCTTTAACAGTAGTGAAAAGGGAGCAATATATCACTTAAGAAGGTCCGAGAACGTACCTGAAGTGAGGCAAAAAAGCCTGAAGGGTTGGACCTGCCTTGCAGCAGGTGCGTGCCCATTTAAGCAGAAAGGACCCAAGCCTGTAATGCCGGGACGTCCAAGTTATAGAACCTGACAAAGGTGGACGGCGAGGCTCAGCCGGCCGCCGCACAAATGTCTGCTATGGACACACCGCTAGACCATGCCCAAGAAGATGCTACTCCTCTTGTGGAGTGTGCTCTTACTCCTATAGGGCAATGTAGGCCCAGGGAGGAGTATGATAGCGCAATAGCGTCAACTAACCACCAAGAAATTCACTGCTTCGTGACCAGAAGCCCTTTTGGTGCGACCACCAAAGCATACAAAGAATTGTTCTGACTGCCTGAACGCAGCAGAACGCTCGATGTAAATTTTCAGAGCCCTGGCAGGGCAGAGAAGGTTTAGCTCCTGGTCCTCTACTGAAGGAGGAAGCGCAGAGAGAGTGATAACTTGTGCTCTAAATGGGGTGTAGAGCACTCTAGGTACATAGCCTTAACCTGCCTTGGCTTCAGGACGACTTTGGAGTCGCTGGGCCCAAACTCAAGGCAGGCAGGGCTTATAGAGAGCGCCTGGAAGTCTCCTAGTTGCTTAACCGATGCTAACGCTAGTAGCAGGGCGGTTTTGGCGACAGTGTTTGTAGGTCTGCTGACTGTAGTGGCTCAAAAGGGGGGGGGGGGCTTAAGGGCCCTCAGGTCCATGGGCAGATCCCATGTAGGTACGGTAAGGGGCTGAGGCAGATTAAGTCTCCTGGATCCCTTTAGAAAGCGAACAACCAAGTTGTTCCTGCCCACTGATTGTATGGCTATAGGAGCGTGGAAGCTGCTATAGCTGCTACATAGATCTTGAGCGTGGAAGGGGAGCGGCCTTTTTCCAACAGCTCTTGGAGGAGGGACAATATCACCGATATGTCACAGGAACTTGAGTCTTTGCCGCGGGTTGTGCACCAGGCGGAGAAGACGCACTATTTAAGAGCATAGAAGCGTCTCGTAGACGGGGCTCTAGCCTGTGAGATAATATTTAAGACTCTCTCGGGAGGTTTGCAGGATCCCATCGAGAGTCCATAGGTGCAGAGCCCACAGCTCGGGCTGGGGTGCCAAATCATCCTGTTCGCCTGAGAGAGAGAGATTTTTCTCAGGGGAATGGGCCAGGGGGCTGCTATAGCAACCGACACAGCTCAGAGAACCAAGCCGGTTCCTCCAGAGCAGGGCCACTAGGAGGACCTTGTGTTTGCGTTCCCTAATTTGCCTGATTACCTGGGGAATCAGAGCGATCGGGGTAAAAGCGAAAAGGAGAAGGTTGGGCCTGTCATGGGCCAACGCGTCCATGTCCTTCGAAAAGTAAGTTGGCAATTGAGAGTTGTCTTTGAGACAAGAGGTTGATCTCTGCCTTGCAAAAGATCTCCCAGAATTTTTTAGAACCGTTTGTGGGTGGAGGGTCCACTCCTTTGAGGGGACGTTGGTACGAGACAGCATTTCTACACCTTGGTTCAATATGCCCGGCACATGCAATGCCCATAATGAGCAAAAGTTGAGGTGTGTCCATTCCAAGAGGCGTTTTATCATCTCGTAGAGGAACCTCGAGGTGAGCCTGCTTGCCGATTTTATAAGACACCACTGACATACTGTCTGAATGGACCATTACGTGGTGTCCCTTCAGGTCTGGTAAGTAGGTTTGAATGGCTCAACATACTGCCACCATTTCAAGGCAGTTGATGTGTAGCCATTCCTTCCATGTCCGACCAGGAGCCGAAGGTCAGTCTGCCCTCGCACAGAGCTTCCCAACCCGTGTTGGATGCATCTGTCGAGACAACCTTCCTTCTGTGGGCCATACCCATGGTCACACCCCACTTGAACCATTGAGGGTCTCTCCAAGGGGCCAGAGCTGCTACACAGGCCTGGTCCACCTTGACTCGAAGGCGTCTGTGACGCCGTGCATGGGGCGGAACTTGCGGTTTCAGCTAGTACTGTATGGGCCTCATACGAAGCAGACCCAACTGTAGTACCGGAGATGCAGAGGCCATGAGGAATAGCATCTTTGAAACATCTTGAGAGGGTGAAAGGCTCCAATTTTGAAGGAGGTCGCGAGCTGTTGAATGGCCAGTGCATGTTCTGGCGCGCCTGATGCCCTCATTCGGGCTGAGTCGAAAGCTGCTCCCAGGAACGGAATCTGTTGGTTGGGGGGCAGTGAGCTCTTGGCAACATTGACCTTGAGTCCCAGGCATTCTAAATGGTTGAGGAGGAAGGTTCTGTGGGATAGTAGCTCTGCCTCTAACTGGCTAAGATGAGCCAGTAGTCGAGGTAATTCAGAATGAGAAATCCCATCTGCCTCAGAGGGGAAAGAGCCACATCCATGCACTTCATAAGTGCGAGGAGCCAGAGACAGCCCGAATGCCGTGTATTGATAAGCCACTCCCTTGAAGGCAAATCTCAAGAATCGTCAGTGATCGGGGGCTATCTGGATGTGAAAGTAGGAGTCTTTCAGGTCCAGAAAAAGAACCAGACCTCTAGAACCAGGATGCGAAGGTGGGAACCACACCGCTGAATCGCCAGGCCTTTGAGCGAATTGAAGTGCGTATCCTCGTGTTATTATGCCCAAATCCCAACCTGTCACTCCGGGGATGGCCTGCCAGGCCTCGGCCTGTGTGGCAAGGGGTTGGACTGACTCAAGTGGAAGGTCGCCATGC